GATATATTAAGGTGTTTTTTCTCATTTCTTCATAAACTGTACTTACTTGGTTTAAGGCTTCCGTCAATGAAAACCTTTCTTATAGTCGTGCCAGGGATGCATGCTGGGTACTCTTACATTTGACCTAAATTCAAATGAATGAAACCACCACAAGAAAGCACCAACTACTTCAAACAAGTATTGGTCGACGTCGGGCAGAAACATGCATTTTTTCTATTTCTTTTTCTGCACTTTTTAAACTTCGCTACTCCGAAACAGCCTCTGGGCTGATCTAAGTCAGGGCACAGCTAACTCACAGATTGAACCCTGAAACAGCCTCTAAGGCCCCGTCTACACTTATCCGGAAATTTTTGTAGAACCCGAAAACTGTAGAACCTAGAAAAAACCTCGAAGAAGCCGGTGAGTAAATTTTAAATTGTCTCCACAGCTGCAAAGAAAATGAGAAGACCGGCTGGTGTTAAAGGACCTTTCAAGGTGGTTGACCCGCGATTRAAGAAAGACATGAGAGCGAAGAAAATGATGGATAAAAAGAAAAACAAAAAAACTGGTAAAGGAAGAAGATGAATATGTATCCATCAAACATGAAAATATCCCTAATATTAATCATTTTAAAGCCAGTAAGACATGTTTACAGATGAAAGAGAATAAAGAAACGAAAAGACAAGACAACGTTAGTAGGGTACTGTCAAGAAACCCGWTAAAAAGTATTAAAATTCAATAGTACAAAATGTAAAAAAAATGTCTTGTATTCTGTTGCTTTATAGTACTATTTATATGTCTATAGCATAAATCAGGAAACTCTTGAACCACTTGACCTGCATTAAGCTGTCACCAAATGCTTTTACATTATCAATCATATTAAATGTAAGATTACGGATAAAACGCGTAGTTTTTAAAAAACATGACGTTTCGACTATAACTAGTGATACAGGGCCGTAACTAGAACTTTTACAGGSAGGGTGCACATCGAATRAAATCGGACCATTGATCGTTTCTTTTARGAAAGCAGAACCAAAAAWAAGGGAGATGGATGAGCGGACCTTAAGCTTTTATGGGAGGGGGGCACGTGCACCCTGTGCTCCCCCCTAATTACGGCCCTGTGATAGCCTTCATCAGAATGATGATGAATATATGTGAARCGCGTGTATGTGTACAAAGCGTGGGAAGAGGCAATGAAACSATGAACGAACCATATTCGTATTTCATGGGTAAGTGTTCCGTAAGGCAGGCAAAGGATTAAGGCATTAAGGCAGGTAAAGATTTTGTTTTTGAGAAGACCAATAACTTGTCAGAATCGAAACAAAAAACTGTTATCTTAAAAATAATAAAATTAATAAAATTTCAAACCTTCGTCTTACTTCGCGTGCTACTAAACTACTGAAGACTTTCCCAATGCATATTGCTTTACAATAAAAMTAGTGTGTAAACTAGACTTGTGGCAAGCTAGTCTTTTTTCTGCAGACTCTACAATACACTRGTAATCTCTTCTGGCTTGTCATTCTCTTCTTCACTCAAACGACTGTTCGTGATGACATCATTTGCCTCAGGTTTTGGTCTTGCACAGCATGGCAGACTGTAGTCCTCTTTGGCTCGTTCTTCCTCTTCCACTGTCTGATGCATGGTAGAGTTTAATGTCTCTGGTAACCAGAGAGCAGAGATGGATGTTGTTACTGCCACTACGCCAAAGATTGTCAATGGAAGTGTTACTGAAAGTCCTGGCAGTTGAGCCTAAAAAAAACCCGAAAAAATCACTACTGCCACTAAATCTAAACTAAATCTAATCCACTAAAAAGCTGAGACAATCAGCATTTTTGGCATCGGCTTGTCGTTCCATGTTTGCCGAGAAACCAATCAACAATTTAGTTTCTTGAGAGGTTCATAGTACGATCACTTCACTCTCTAAAGAGAAAATAATCATTTTTATATCAGTTTTCAAAATCATTTTACGCCCCGCGCGCYCCAGGTCTAGCAGTATGTGGAATATCAATAAGATATAGCTATACTTACAATCATGCCCACGTAAGGCGCGAGTATCGCCCCAACACGACCAATAGTGTACCCTGTACCTACRGCTGTAGATCTAAAATAAGAGAAATATCACTGACTGATCGAGCATCAGGTCATTTTTAGAGAACGCCTTCAGCTTTTTCCCGGTCTTACTCAGTAAAAAGGGTAGTAATCGAATGGCAACCCCTGCTTTCTCAGGTCTTCAACTACTGAAGGGGAGAGGTATGAACTTATTAATGAATATTAATTGTAACTCTTAGTTACCTGAGTACAGTAGGAAACAGTTCTGTACCGATAAGAAAAATAGTGATCCACAGCCCTGCAGCAGTTGTTGTACTCGCAACAAAGATCCAAGTCCTCGTCARCGAATTGTCTGTTCGAGATAAAACACTTATCTTAAAGAATCACAGCGCAAGCAAGAGTGTAAGGCTCAGTTCAAACGTCAAACTTCACATGAGCCGAACCTAATTGAAACAATGGATAACGAGGCGGTGTTTTTTGATGTCATTAGGTTCAGCTCATGTGAAGTTCGACGTTTGACATGAGCCAAAAAAACTCTCCGTTACTATGACGGTGACRTATCCTCAGCATTTCGTTTGGATTATCAAAATTATTACGCCTTGTGATCGTTCCGCGTATCGTGCCGCGCCGTACGAAATATTCGACCCACAGACTCGATGATCGTAACACTACTTACCATTAGGCACAGCAAGCGYGACCAGAAACAGCAGTCCTGTAATGAGCAATATGCCAGAATGGGTCAAGCGACGACCAAATCTACAACAAAAACCCAAATAACGGATCTAGAAATAACTAAGTTTTTTTGCGCTCGGAGCGTAAGAAGCAATAAATATCTGTTAGTAAAGTTTTTTTACCTTTTTGCGCAAATCGTTGTAATTATCACCGAGATTGGTTGGAGAGAATTGATGATGRCAAAATTAAGGTAGATGTTGCCAGACAAATCATCGATGTATAGCAACAACGCGTTAGTAAGGAAACTGATCGAGAACCTGTAAATAAATATATATTTATAAAATAAATGTTATGAATACCGTATTCTGATTGGATSGGAGCGCGTGCTTTATAAGAGCACACAGCACGCGCGCTTACTTTCTATTTTGTCATAATTCGTATCCAAAATAACAGGTTATTCTATAAAAAAAATAACTTGCTGCGCTGTGTAGTTTTAAAGCACTTGGGAATCAGCAGAATAATCGAGAAGTGTTGAGAAGCAATACGCTACGCGTCGTACACTTTTTTCGTGTTCGATTTTTTCGCGCGYTTTCTATTTCTTCAGTAAAAGAAGATTTATTTGAGCTGTGTCGATTCTTTACCAGTTGAWTACAAGAATAATACTTCGTCTTCTCAACTTTGGAGTCCGCATAAGATCTAATGGAGTGTAGATTTTTTCATCTTTGATTTTTTCAGTCGCAAACTGTGCATTCTTGATATCCTCTAAGGCTTGTTTCAGTTGTCCTGGTTCTGTTTTTGTTACGRATGAGTCTCTACACTTACTGAGAATCTTGAGAGCCTCGTCCAGTCGATTTTGGCTCAGAAGCCATCGAGGTGACTCTGGATAGATTCTGAAAGATATTATGAAATAAGAAAAYGTTACGCCAAAAGATCCAAATGACCCCTTCACAGTTCCCTGTGCCATCTTGAAASGTAGTCGTGCCAGTGCATCGAAGCGAGGACAACGGTGAGCTTGCAATGATAGAGAAATGCGAATAATTGTCCAAGGTGTTAAATRAGGTCTCTAAGATCACCGCATCTACAAAACTAATCACCCCACTCCATGCACTCTGCTACCCATACCTCCTCGCGTTTTTGTTCCCGAGGAGCTCTGAGTTCATCAGTGAACGTATCGTCTCGTTATATCCTTCAATCTCGCCCCAAGAGTCGATATGAAAAATTTCATTGTTACTGCGCATGCTCGACGGAAAACTTGTGCAATAACCAATAACAGATCTGGAGACGAGATTAATTTTCCTGCTGTTATTTCGAATATGCGCAGAACAATTTCTGTAGTTCCACGGCGCTGACCAGCATGAATGAACGAAGGCTCATGAAGAACGATTTTTAGTTACCTTATGAAAGCGAAAAGCAGTAACCCAGGCAGACTCGTTATTAAAACCACAGGCCTCCAGTCGGGTATAAAATAAGCAACAAAGCACATWATGAAGTAGCCGAGCCCAAAGTACACTTGGAAGACACCGCTTACCATAGTACGGTATTTTGGGCCCAACAGCTCTAACACGAACGTGAAGTGAGACGTTTGATTTCCACAGGCTCCAAAACCCATGAGAAAACGAAGAAAACCATGAAGAGAAATACAGTCAGCAAACACGGAGACAGAGGCTGAGATTATCTGAAAAACATAGTTGCACAGTATTATTAAGTTCTAATTTAAAAAATGAATGGGTAGATGGATGGAAGGGTGAGATGGAATGGGATAGTTCCGATAGCATGGATAAAATGGGAGGATGGGAAAATGAAAAGATGGATGGCAAGATGTCAGGATGGGATGGGATTTGATAGAGTGGGTGGGCCGGGAATCAATTAGAGTGGAATCAGCAATCCTTGGATTGAATTACATGGAATAGATGGATGTGATGGAATCAGGAATGGATAAAACCCAGGCTTGAATGGAATGAGATTGATGGAACAAAGTGGATGGATTGAATGGATCCAAATAGATGAATGGTTARATGAATTATTCGTGTTTTTAGTTACCAGAATAGCAACGAAGATAAAAGTACTCTTTCTCCTTCCAAAAGAATCAGAAATCATGCCAGCAGCAGACCCTCCTGCCAGCATACCAGCGAAGAAACATGCTTGGAGGGTGGCAGCTATGTATGCCTTGTCACAGATCAGGTTCCACTACACATCGCCAAAAAAAAAGACAAAATATACATTAGGTCTAACGTGTTCTTGTAGTCTTGTAGGTCCGTGTCACAATTTTATATTTGACTGCTTCTTCAAAGTTAAAAGATCCATTTAGATCCTAGCTTAATATCGGACTTAGTAGTTCAACTTCATGGATAATAAGAGCTGGCGGTTGAAAGACTACTATTATGATTTGACTTTCGTACGAAATAACATGCCGAAATTGGGTCTTATTCTTTCCCCCGTCTGTACTAGTTTATCACRAGTCATTCACATCACTCACCTCAGACACAATACTTCTGAAGGGCCCATCAAAGACGTAACTAGTGCAGTTATCGCAGCATTTATTGGGTGGACAGAATGACGCGGTAGAATTGTCTGACTGGCAATGAAAGTTAGGTGTTCCATATACAAACAACAAAGCAGCAAACTGACAGGACGTTAGCATTACCAGCGCACATGACGAAAAGAAAAGGGTTTTTTGATATCTACCGAGAGGCGAGACCAAGGTAGGGAAAAGGTCATCGTACTCTTTAAATTTTTCTTCTGGCGCGTCGTTACGACTTGAACTGCTGTCTTTCATGCTCGATGATCTCCCAGTCCCTGGGAATCAAAAGTAAACAATTCCTGGGATGTGATA